GAGTGAAGGGATTAATAAAAGTATATCTAACTGTGATTTGTTATAATATCTCTTTTAGCTCATGCACAATTTACCCTGTGGTTTATAATCAATCCCCTACAAAGGGTTGTTAAAGCTGTTAATGTGTTGATGGTATTAATGATACGTTACAATTTATCTTCTGGTCCCCCTTATAGTACTAGAAGGTGCACAGGTGAGTTTACATATTTAATTTTTCAAGGTCATCTGCTATAGTTTATATTTATTTTAGGAATTAATCGAAACGAGCCACTACTTCCAAATCTGGAGAAATAGAAAAAGATAGTCCTTACTTGTGGCTGAAAAGTTATAAATGGTTCTGCAATCAAACTGGTGATCGTTCAGGATGCGGTAATAACTGATGATGGCTTCTGGAGGCGCCAAAGCCTAAGCAAGGGGCTACAACTGAATCGCAGCTATATAAATTGAGATTCCTATGCATATCGCTAACATATGTGTTTTAGGTAATATTTCAGTTCAACAAAAGACCCACTAAGTTATTAGATAAATAATTAATCATTAGATAATTACAGTAAATGATAAATAAAGGCCTAAAATAAAATAACACTATTGGTATGTGATTTTAGGGAAGCATGGAGAGGTCGAACTTATCACAGATGTTAGGGGCCCTTCTTTTACAAGAAACAAAATCCACAATATGTGATTCCACTTATACGAAACGTTCCTTGCAAGAATTGAGATGATGGTTTACTTAATGGCTGATTAAATCTGTAAATTCTAAAACTTAAACCCAGGTGTTTCAGAAAGAAGCCATTTTCATTAACCAGTCAGATATGAGAATAAAAAAAAGTATCATAAAAAGTGGTCAGTGGTCAATCTATGTCCAAATAAGATGTATTTAAATTGTCCTGGTTTTTGTACCTTGATGGAATTTTAATTAATTTAATTTATTTGAAAAAGAAGAGAATTGTCAACAGAATAACTTTAACATAACAAAGATAAACAAATCATTGATATTTTAAGGAAAATCTATCCTAGACAAACTAAATTAATAATTACATATCTCTAATATATTTAAAGAGGGTAAACATTTTATATTTTTAATGATATTTTGTTGGAACAACATTTTACTCCTCTTAATGTATTTTATATCGATTTATATTTTGTATTGGTTTTAGGATTACAACTGAAGTTATTAAGTACTACCTAGAGACGAAGAGGGCGAATTAAAGTTTATGACTAAATCTATGTGTAAATTTTATATTCCTAATTGATAGTATTATAATTATTTTCTTTAATTTTTAGGCCTTAGCTATGCAGATGTACCTGAAAACTGTAATTAATATTGTAATATATCGTATTCGATAAATAAATACGTATAAACAAGATGTCCTTATCTTTTTATCCTAAACTATTACTAAGGACGTAACAAACTTCTTGGTAATCATATACTTAATCGAACTAAAAATGCATTTTAAAAATATTGTATTTTAGATTTCCTTTGTACCTGAAGACATTCTAGAAATTTTAGAAGCAAAATAAATTCTACAGACTTGTATAAAAAAGAATATATAAAACCTGAAATTTTATAAAAAGTGAATCTACAGCTAGGTACATGGTACGTCTATATTGAAAAAAAAAATCAGATTCAAGCAAGTGCAAAACTAGAAGAAAATTTGGGAAAAATCACAGACGATGCCCTCGAGCATACATCAAAATATCTTGCTAAAAAACATGAGTTGTATTTTTATAAAATCTTCATACTAACTTGGAAATCCATAATTAAGCATAAAATTTGTTAATTTTCTTCAATAATAGTTAAACAAGTAGGTCAATCTCTTTTTTATTCAATATGTTGTGGAAAAGTAAAATCATTTTATATAAAAATATAATTTATTCTCTTCTAATAAATTGTCATATATTTATGTTACATTATAGCTTAAATAAAAATATTTCCAAGCCACATGTAGTTAGAATAAAATAATTTTTGTTCACCTTTGCAGAAATAATAAACTAACAAAATAAAAATATGTACAAAAAAAAGTTAAAAGGTTTGATTTTAAAAAGATGATATATCGCTGCGAGTACAGGTAAGCAATCTGGGAACTCAGCTATCTCGTATAATATATACCTAGTCATTGTTGCAATTATCTATTATTCACAGATCTAGTTTTTTTAGCATCATACAATTGCCATCTTGAAACGTACTTTTGTACAATGATTCACTGTTTAAGCTTCTAGTGAACCTTTGGAATATTGATACCTTATTATACTATTAAGCAAATTTTGTCCAATCGTTCAGTGCTTTATAGGTAGCTTCTACTTTTGCACATGTGTAATTGCGTTTGTCATATACCTACCTCTACTTTTGTGATATTACTACTTGATTTCAAGAGTATTTTAATAATAAATTTATATAAATATTTTGTTTTATTTGAAATTTCCATGTCTCGATACGCTAGTTCTGTGATGATGTAATTATGGTTCCACTGACAATTAAAGTGACAATAGACTTTTTGAGTGCGTTTTGTTCGTTTTGTTTACCTAAATTATATCGTTTTTTCACTTTTATGAATATATTCCTAAAGTAAGTAGATAACATGCATCAAATATACAATCGTTTAGTTACCAATTACATACCTTTAAACTATTTTTTATGACCTGTAAACAATATTTAGAAATAAAATTAAAACAGTAAAAACGTATATGTCAAATTTTCTGATGTTTTTGTTAAAAGTTTGCTTAGAATTAAATGTCAGTGGAACCAAAATGACATCACACTGAACCAGCGCATTGAGATTTTACTAAACCTCAATTTCAGCCTCTCTGTATTACTTAATGGATGGACTTAATTATACTTGTAAAAATATTTATTTTAAATTAAAAAAAGTTATTTTTCATAATTTCTTAATGTGAATCGAATTTATTTAACAAGTAAAAGAAATTATGAAGAATTACTTTTTTAATTTAAAATAAATATTTTCACAAGTATAGTTAAGTCCATCCGTGGACACACTGTATAATGCTGTAGAACTAATTCACATTATAACATCTGTAGAAAGTTTCAGAGCAACCTTCAGGGTAAGTTCCTTAAAAGGGCTAGTGTGATGTTTTCCGAACTTCACTGTGTAACCTCTGTGAGATGTTCTATAAAAGTCTTGCCGTTGCAAACATTCGGTGGTTGCAGGGATATTAGGGTTACATTAAAAGTACATCGCATGTGAGCTTAAAGAGCCTAAAATTGCAGCTTATTAACGTAGATGGGATGTTTTTGTGCTAGCTGGGATTTTTTCTCACAATTATTTTATTAGTAAAATTCATACTGTTACGGTTGTAAATTGACTAAAGTTCATTGTCTTCATATTTTGAAAATACCATTTAATTATTTGGATATTCATTAGAAATCGTCTACGCCTATGTCTTTCGTGGGGTATATAGAATAAAATATATTACAATTTAATTTTGGACAGCTGTTTGTTTCGCAGTAAATCAAAATCTTTGCAAAGTTGCCAAATGTCTATTGTAAATTGGTCAACAATCTTGGCTCTGACGTCATTAAGTATATATGTGAACTGCATAATTTGGCAACATTGTCTTTTCTTTTGATTTTGGTCAGAGTGATTACCTTTCGTAAAAGTTTTGAAGGTATAACGCCGTAAAATGGTGGATATGTTCCTTTAAATTTTGAAATATAATAATTTTTCTGATTAATCCCAGTTAGTTTTGTATTCTGGTCATTAAGGGTCTATTTATACTCCCTTAGTATTAGTATTTGTATTAGTATTATGATTAAGCATTAAATTTGTTAAATCATTCAAAAAAGGTATTTATAGTCGTTTTATAATTAGTATTAATAATTCTTTTTTAAACCTAATACCTAATAAGATATAATTCTGCAGTCAACAAAATATATGGTTACTGAAGAAATGTGTAAGAGGCCGGTTGTGTTCTTTTAAGATATTTGAGTTTTAAATGTGTTTCTATTAATATTTTTACTAGTTAGTTTTATTTAAAAATAATATTATTCAAAAATATGTTTAATTAAGGACATTTTAACGGATTTAAGTCTCAAATTTATACCAAATAAAAAGAAGCAGAAATTTGATACAAATCAGACATGAAAGAGGCCTTTGCTTCCTCGTGGTGACATGTCATTTGTCAACTTTATAATCTGTGAACACTGCTGATACACAAAAATTGTATACAGAGCATGATTTGTACCGAAATATTATCGTTTTCGAGCTTGTTGGAACAAACATACAAACAACATAATCATATGTGTATTGTCAATTATCCTTATCCGTTGTCTATTAAAAACAAAGGCCAAATACGCCATTGATTATTTATAGAAAAGAAGAAATTTAATATTTAATTTAAAAGTTGAACCTGTCAATTATTAAGCATAAATATTAATGCTAATACTAATCATAAATCGAGTATAAATGTTCCCATTACATTGTGAAGGTTCAACTTAATGCTTAATCATAATACTAATGCAAATACTAATAATAAGGGAGTATAAATAGACCCTAAATTGTGTACCTTTAGTGTTCTCTCCTTGCAAACAAGACTATATTTTTGGAGAAGAAATTAGGAACTGTTGTTTACTATAACCTCTCGTGGACATCGCCAACAGTCTGGGACTGTCGTGGTTGGATTTTGTAATTTCGAACTCCTTCAGCACAGTAGGGTATGTACTAATAATCATTATATATTTTGTAAGGTTCGTCACAAGAGATTTATCTAATTTTTAATTTAATAAATTTTAAAATAAAGAGGCGCTTCAATACGTTTAATTTTTTTGTTTATTCTCTTTAAAATAGTTATTAATTGTTTAATATAAAATTTTGAATATTTTCGTTAGGTCGTAGAAAAAATATACTGTACATCTCGAGTAAATTGCACAAAAACTGTTATTTTTTGTGAACAAAACTGTTATTTTTTGTGTACAAAAACTGTTATTTTCTATGTAGATAACAAAAATTAATTAAATTGGCTAAATACCATAATAGATAACTTACCTGCGTGTCTTTATTATTTGCCAGCACCATTAAAGTGTAACATATGGAGACCGAAGTGGTATCATGACCCTAAAAAATTTATAATTTTTAATAGTATAGTTATACGGGGTGTTCCAGCTCAGACGAGCCACCCCGTATATTTCTTATCCCATAGTAATTGAAAAAATTTCCCGAAACACGTCGGATGATTTTCTTTGGGGGGCATCTTTTAACGTATATTCGGGGCTTGAACGAGCAACCCCCTATGAGGGGGCGCTTCAAAAGATGTCCCCCAAAGAGAATCATCTGGCGTGTTTCGGGAATTTTTTTCAATTACTATGGGATAAGAAATATACGGGGTGACTCGTCTGAGATGGAACACCCTGTATATAACGCTAGTTAAATTTTATTTTGAGAGAAATTACAAATCCTGTTAAAATTGTAAAAAAATATATTTTTTTGGTGTATTCGATTTCGACAACTCATCCTAACTTGTTTTATTTTAAATTATTGTATAAGTGGCAGCTTTTCAAGGTGGCAATTTACATTTAACACGCTTTTCATAAAATGACAACTTTAACACTAAAATCGAACCTATTTAATGGGTTTGTAGAAAAAATATTGTAACGCCCAGATGCGAAGTAGACAGAGAAAATTAAAAAAAATAGAGATAAATGGCCATACTAATTTAAAGGTCCCTCGAAGAAACTCGTTTAAACTTAAACAACTTCGGCAAGGAAAAATTGAATATACAGTATGGTTCAAATGAAAGGAATAAATTCATTATAATGGAAGTAGTTGGTTTTTCGAAAAAATGCTCGAACAGGTCAATTTTGTTTACTTAAAGCGCAATTTTTTAAATAAAATTCAATTTTCCCCCACTTCCCATTTTTGGGCAGTGACGTCATTGACAATTTTTTTAAATAGCAACCCCAATTTTTTTTTCTTGATTTTGATAGATCTTCCAATTTCCTACTTGGAAACGTAATATTTGAAATATCTGACATAACAATTTTTTTTGAAAAAAAGTAATTTCAAGATCAGATACATAAATTTTATGTTATTTTGAAACACAATAAATTAATAAAAGATAATTATTTGTAATTAAGTGCTTAATTTAAAAAAAATAATAATAATAAAACGAATTTAATGACAATTTCACAAATTCTTTTTATTATTATTTTTTTTATTAATATTTTGTTAGATTAAGCATTTAATTACAAATAATTATCTGTTATTAATTTATTGTGTTTCAAAATAACATAAAATTTATGTATCTGATCTTGAAATGACTTTTTTTCAAAAAAAATTGTTATGTCAGATATTTCAAATATTATGTTTCCGAGTAGGAAATTGTAAGATCTATCAAAATCAAGAAAAAAAAATTAGGGTTGCTATTTAAAAAAATTGTCAATGACGTCACTGCCCAAAAATGGGAAGTGGGGGGAAAATTGAATTTTATTTAAAAAATTGCGCTTAAAGTAAACAAAATTGACCTGTCCGAGCATGTTTTCTAAAAACCAGCTACTTCCATTATAATGAATTTATTCCTTTCATTTGAACCATACTGTATAACAAAATTTCTCTTCTTAAGGTACGTATAAATATAGTGGGCCGGGTTGGACTGTGCCTGCGTCGTTTCAACAACGGACCAAGTTCGACAGATTTGTACGATGCTGTATGTCTACCATGGGCCTCGCCAAATAGGGTCGAAGTAGACACGTTGCATTTCATCGCGCGGTAGATTCACAACACCGTACAAATATGACGAACCTGGGTCCGTAGTTGGCCTATGCCCGACGCGTTATATCTATACGCACCTGTAGGTATACAGTAGTTATGGGTTTTGATAAAATATTAAATGAGAAATAATGTAAATTATTTTTTATGTTTAGTAGGTATATATAAATCACTTATAACTAAAATTGCTAAACATAATAATAATTAATTATATAATTAACGTTTATTAACAGTAAACAATAATATCTCAAATGGTTGATGGAATTGTAAGTTCCTTAGATAATTCACTTCGCTTCTCGTCTCATGTGACAAATATTGTAAGAAAATCCTATAGTAGTTTAAAACTCCTATATGCAAATAAAAGCATATTGAATAAACGAACTAAAGCCATGTTATGTGATTCTCTTGTCCTATCTCATGCCAATTATGGCGATGTGGTCTATGGACCAAGTTTGTTAGGTGTTGATAAAACTCGCTTACAAAAGATACAAAATTCGTGTGTACGTTTTATTTGTGGACTTTACAGACATGATCATACTAGTCAACACTTAAAGGAACTGGGTTGGCTTAATATGGCGGAAAGAAGAACATTGCATGCATGCTCAATGTTTCGCAAGATTATGGTAACTCTAACACCTGCTTACTTATATAATAAAATTCAATTCCGCACTGACGTCCACAACCTTAACATTCGTTTTAAATCTAAACTCACGCCGCCTTTACACAAAACAACCTTATATCAAGGATCTTTTTCATATTATATTTCCTGGCTTCTAAATGGATTACCGCTGAGCTACTCTAAATTTTCTCTTGTTAAATTGAAACATACATTAAAAGAAGACATTTTAAATAGCAAACTGCGCAATATCATTAAGTAATACTATAGGATAATTTTATTATATAGCATAATTTCATTATACACGTTTTTCCGTTCTTCTATTAGCAATTTCTCACCTAATATAAATTGTTTTTCATTATTTTTGTTTGTTATACTATGCCAAGTTTTGTAACACCCTAGTTAAGAATATATGTATTTTAAGTTAATACCTATTATTTTAGATATAATTTTAGTATTAGTTTTTCTTTTTCCATTTTTTTTATTGAGGTTGAGTGGAAGAGCAGCTTCTATATTATTTGCTTATGCAAATCTGAAAGCTGAACTTTGCCTTTTGGCTAATTATTTTTAATAAATTATACTATTTTAATTTTGTAATTTTCACATGCCAATAAAACCATATTTATTTATTTTATTTATTTACGAACCATGTTTAGCATGAATAAATTAAGTGACATTTCTGTTATATTCAAAATAAAATATGCCCCGATGAAGGCATGTAAAAACATTGTATTTTACCAAACGGCACATGAGCACAAATAAAATTTAATTGAAAATTAACCAACTATAATTCAAATAAATTGAAACCAATCACTTTCCTGAACGAAGCTGCTAAAATATACAAATGAAAATAAAATTAAATACAACGATTTTATGGTTATATTTGAAAGTTTTCCAGAAAATAACATATTCAAACATTTCTTGAGTACATCCAAGGCACAAAAAACATCTATTCATGATTAATAAAAACCCTAATACAAATGAATCAATTTTGGCTAAATTGAAGTTTTATTTGGTATGGTATGGTATGTTATGTTGGGAATGGGGTGTTAATACACTGCGACCTAAAAGATCTATTGTGTCCCCTTCTATCGCCAATGCACCAAGGAAATGTCTCAATGCCTATAACCTTCCAGCCTATAAACCTTCCAATCCTATTTCCTCAAGGAAGTGGCTTCAATTTGATATCCTCCTTGATATAGTGCCCTTGGATTCTGGAGTGCTACACATTCAGTTAGGATGTGAATGGAGGTTTCGTCCTCCTCCTCACAGAATCTACTTTCATTATCCTCTACTACTCTCAGTTTACTTAGGGGTCTTTTTAGTCGGCAATGCCCAGTAAGGATCACTGCTACATTACGTAGCCTGTTCTTGCTCAGACAGATGCAGGCTTCCGATCTTTTCTGGTTATATTCACCCAGAAGCATCTTTGCCTGTCTCAGCATCAAGAGATTGTTCCAGTTATCGGTTCTCCTACTACCCAATTATTTTTTAATCTCTCCTAATATTATGTTACTACTGATACCGCAGAACGGCTCAGGTCCTACAAAGGGTGTTTGAGCCCCTTTCCTTTCAAGACTATCTGCAATCTCGTTACCCTGTACCTCGTTATGTCCCGGGACCCAAGTGAGAGTAACTCTATTTTTCTCGCTTAGCTCATTCAATTGTTCTAGGCATCCAGATCATTTTTGAGCTGATTACGTAAGAGCGCAGCGCTATCGGAAATGATAATAATCTCTTGTTTATGATAGTTTCTCTTGATGTTAAACTGGATAAACTTCTCGATGGTGTGAACTTCCGCCTGGAAGATGCTTGGGTATTTTCCCAAGCTTTCGGAGTGCTTGGTTTTTGGCCCATACACTCCTATTCCAGTCCCTTCTATGGTTTTGGAACCGTTTCTATACCACTGAATAGCACGTCTTTCGGTTGAAAGCGCGATGGATTCTTGGCTCCATTCTTTTTTGCAGCCCAGCTCTGTGGTTTTGAAGTTGTTCACAAAACTGTACTTCTTTAGCATTTCATCCTGGGGCATGTCCCAGGTATCTTTAGTCCTGGAGCAAGTAGACTTTCGTCTGATTACTCCGTTCCTAATCATTCTATATCGTGTCCTTTTTGCCACATTCTCTGTCATCAAATGTAGAAGGGTGAGGTTTAAGATCATCTCCATTGCGGCCGTAGGACAGGTTCTCATTGAACCAGTAATGCAAACACAGGCTAGACTTTGTACTTTTGAAACATTAGCTCTCGTAGTAGCTAAACTAGTTCTGTTACTCCAGGCTATAGCCCTGTAAGTGATGATCGGTCTCACTATTGCAGTATACATCCAACGCAGTATGTTTGGGTTACATCCCCATCGTTTACCTGCAATGTTTCTGCATACCATTAGGCCTTTTGTGGCCTTATTTACTACTTCCTTCTTATGTGTGTTCCAGAGAAGTTTGTTATCCTGGGTTAGGCCTAGATATTTGACTTCATTTTTCCAATCTATATCTATCCCGTCTAATTTAACGGTTTTGAGATTAAGTTTTCTTTTCCTTGAAAAGGCTACTAGTGTTGTTTTTGTAGGGTTTATACTAAGTGTCACTTCACGGCACCATCTTTTGGTATGTTCTAGTCCTCGTTAGACTATATCACACAGGATATTTCTAACCTTGCATCTAGCAAATATGACTATATCGTCGGCATAACCTTGACAGGGTATGCCGAGATCAGTCAATCTGCATAGAAGTTCGCTCCACATTTATTTGGTAAAGTACAATGTTGTTACATGACTTTGGAGCATATTTCATTTCGTTCTCAAATGTCGGCCGAAATTTGCAGTGAGCTCTCCTACTATTATTATTTATGTAGATAAGCCTTTATATGTGTGAGGTGTTAAATTTGTTGATCAGAGATATTAGGTGAGCACATAAAAAAGTCAGTTCCAAATTTTTTTAACCATTACATTAACATAATGTTGTTATAGGTACATTTTTATTTGATAATATAATTTTTTAAATAATAATACAAATCATCGAATTTTTTTAAACCCTATTAACCTTGTTTGCTTTTTTCTTATTCGTCTATTTTATAACACATACTTCTATGATAAAATGAACATTTTGTCATTATTCTAACATACAAGTGCTACTGTTCGAGCTACCATGTAATGATTACACCTCACACCAACCCTGGCAATTTAAAAGGCAGCAATATTTACCTTAAATATTGAAAATAATTAAAATTGGCAACAACTATGCCATACCTCATCTATATAGAATGATGTCTACAGTTATATGGATAGCTCACCCATATGTAGATAAAAAGATATATATGCTTGAGGGGTATAGTCTAAAAACTAAAAACTTTATCCTGAAAAGCCATCGTGAAAAGCGACTGAGCTTATATCCGTAGAGAAATTTTGATAATAGACGACAGTGTTTTTCGTCGTCTCAATTACATATGGATAAATAATCTATACAACTATATATTACTGAATCTTGTAACCACTGTTGTTGATTTTACAATTTAAGTGATTAAAGCTCATTAATAAGAATCGTGGATTACGCTCTAGAATAATAATTCAGTAATCCTGAAATTAGGTATTTGAAACCACTGTATTTAAATTCGCATATCTCTAAGCATAAAAGCTATTGATAAAAATATGGAAACAAATATTACTAATAAATTTTAATGAAAATAACGGATATGCCTTCAGAAGATACGGTAAAACTAAATACTAATCTATAAGAATTTCTGATAATAAAATTTCTTTTAAAGTTATCTATTTGTGAATAGTACTATGTACATTGTAAAATTAACTTATTCCAATGAGGTAGGTTTTCATCAAGGGCTAAAAAGGTCTTCAAAGCTGTTATACTTTTTAGGTCCTCAGGACGATAATTACTATATAAATCAGCAAAATCCTTGTAGTCTCCAAATAGTTTAGCCTCCTAGACGTCAATAATTTATTATACTTCTTAGGTCATCAAAACATTAATTACTATCGAAATCAACAAATCCTTGTTCATGTTACCAAGTAGAAAAATTCTAAATCATTCTTCTTATGATCATGTAAAAACCATTAAAATGTTGCTAAACTAAAAGATTTCGATCTTTTAATGGATAAATCGGATAGGTAGGACGGATGAGACGAAAGTTTTGAATAATAAAATAAAATATAGCTATTTATTTACAGAAACTAACATATTATTCAGAACGAGTAGTTTCACAAAAAAATAACCTCAAAAAGTTAAAAAAATATATCTCTAATCTATGTAATCATTGTATGAAACCATAAAATAATATATTTAACACTAGTGGTTTTTAAATAGAAAATAGTATATTGTTTCACGAGTGACGAAAATAACATTTTTTGAAGCGAGAGAACAATTTACCAACCGAGGCGAAGCCGAGGTTGGTAATGTTTGCGAGCTTCAAAAAATTATTTTCGACGAGTAAAACACTATACTTTTTTTACGAACTCTATTATGTTATGTAGGTACCTACTAAAATGAAAAAAAAACAAACGTTAGCAAATGCTTTATTTTGTGTTAGGAATAACAAAAAATTAACCAACAATTAAATATTTCAGAAATATTATTTAATATTTAAATATTGATTTATTGTTATATTTGAACAATTGTTCAAAATTATGGAGTATCACACTCAAGATTTTTATTTATTGAGGTAGATGCCGACATATTTGTTCTACTGTTAAATGTCATTTCAGATGATGATGCGCCATAATCGGATGAACTAGTAGTTTCCTTATTTTGTACAGATTGTAAAAGTTTGGTTTGTATTTAGTTTTTACTGTTCGTGGATTCATCAACATATCCTTCCGCAACACTACTAGATTTCCAACCACCGTGCTTTTTTAACAGAAGCAAGTCACCTCCTGCATCCACTAATAGCGTTGCGGATGTTCTGCGGAAACAGTGCCCAGTGTAATCTTGAGGATTCGGAAGCGTTAAAAACTGAGCAATTTCGTTAGGAAATTTACTGATTTTATTAATTCCAACAACCTGTCTGCTACACTTTCCATTCTGATAGTTAATAAAGAATCTTGAATTAATTTGATCCATGTTTGCGGGACGTAGGCTCATATTTTTTAGAAATATCATAAAAGGGTCCAGAAATATGAAAAGAACGCGGAACTTTTGTTTTTGTGTTACGGATTTTAACTTACAGAATACTTCCAGTATCCTTTACATCGCTTATTGTTAAATCTTTTAGTTTGTGGCAACGACAAGCGCCAGATAATCCAAAAACTAATGCTACCTACAAATATTAGTAGTTATGTATTAAGTATTTGTTAAAATAAAAATAATAATTCCGTTACCTTTGTTATTAAATATTTATAGTCAGGAGCATTCTTTAGGAAAGTCTTTAGGTCTTCAGGCGAAAAAATTTTGGATTTTTGGCTTTTAAAACCATCAGATTTTCTTTTCAAAAGCGAACGTAACTTTGGATATTTACTAATATCGACATCATTTTTAACAGAGAGTGTAGTTCTTAGCATCGAATAAATGGACCATAACGTCGACGGTTTAAAATTTGAACATATTTCTCCAAAGTATGCTAGTAGTACAGTTTCCGAAAATGATTTCACTTTATTTTTTTCTCTCCAGTCCAAAAATTTGATATAAATTTCTTCATATCTCTTTTTTGATTTGGCCGGTCATAAATCTTCAGCTTTAAAAATAATTTCTGGGGAGTACAATCGCTTTCTGACTCAGACATCATGAAAATGTGTTAAATTTAGGACGAACTGAAACTGACAGTTCTTAAAAGTGATAAAACTTCAAATAAACAAATGAAAACCAGGAAACTAGATGTAGATAGGTTTAATTTGCACTATTTTTATACATTTTTATTTTATCTTTAATTCATTAAAGTTTAAGTAAAAACGCATATAAAATTTAATGAGCATCTTTTTATTTCATTATTAATAATTATAAGCTGCCAAAATATTATACGAGGCGACTGATATATGAAAATATGTAACAACTTACTTCCGTCACTAGAGACGAAAGTAAACGTTATGGGATTTTTTCTCACTAGTGACGGAAATCAAGTTTTCGCTGAAAGTATCCTGTGGCGAAAGATGTCTTTTTGTAAGAGTTCGTAGAAAAAGAATATTTTTATTAGAGAATTATCTCGATAAATCAAAATTGGTTTCATCGACTCTCAAATTAGAAAAAGAATGACATTCGAAAAATGACTCTCCATTGACAGACACCGAATTGTCATCGCAAGGAAAGAGGTGGAATAATCGAGATGTTTAAAAAATACCGGTATGAAATCTTTTCCTTCTAGTGTACGAGGGCCAATTTCGTGGTAACTTTCTGAAACATTATTTATTGTTTTTCGGTGAACACTTTTTGAGATATACAACAATATGAGATTGTCATTCTTTTCTCTACACTTTATTATCCTTATCCAATCACAAAATGTTTATGTTTCACTGTATTTTATTGAGATTTTCTTGTCTGTAACTTACATCTCATAGAATTATTTTAAATTTTTTATTTTAATGTTTTGATTATTTCAGCCAAGGATATTTCAGCGTAATATTAATTTGAAGAGTTTTCTTATGTTAAAGTAAAAATTAAAACTTGATTTTCAGAAAACAGAAAGCGACCTGGCAATGTTACATTTTTTGGTGAGCTCTTTGCGAACAAGAATATCTTAGACGGTGTCAGTATTATTATACAGAGTGAACAATGTTTCACTTTTATAGCCACAAACTGCTGTTTGTAGCGTGCGTGATTTTTTTCATGGTCTACTTAATTTTTTTTTATGTTATATTACTTGATGTCATTCTGAAATGTTCTACTACATTTATAATCCTTATGATCTTTTTGTTATAAAAGAATATTAGGTTGTGCTCAAATAGAAATTAATTAAAATTATGCATGGTAAAGAAAACATTATTTGAAGATGAATAAAATAAAAAATTAGAAGAAATCTCGCAACTAGCTTTAAACTAGGATATAAAGCTAGATCGCTTTCAGAAAAAAGTAGTAAAAGTTTTTTAAAAACCTCAAATATAAAAGTATCTAGTTCTTCTCTAATTCCTTCATCATCAATACCAGCTCCTTCTTGTTGAGCCTTTAACATCAAATCCAAAAGAGCAAGTCTTTTTCTTTGAGAGTAACTTGCGTCTTTTTCAAATATTTTCTTTTTTTCTTTAATTACATTAGTGGAAAAATCGGACAATGTTTTCACAGTTTTGATATTCTTTTTGTAAGCAGCACTCAGTTTGTACACAAAAGGAATGTAAAGCCAAGGACGAACAAGTCTGTAAATGAACGATTCACCATAGTCATAGACAGCTTTTTTGTATTCCGTGCAATTTGGATCTTCTCGAAGTGGAACACCCAGAGATGTTTCTAAAACAAGGTACTACTTGAAATATTTGTAAGAAGATTTATCTCTGTAATATAGGGTGGCTGAACGAAGATTTGACATGGGGATTTCGGCTCATCAAAGCGAAAATAATAGTCAGTAATTTAATATGTAAAGACTGCAGTCATATATCATTGCACCACAGTTCGCAGAAAAAAAGAAAAGAAGAATTTTTGGAGGTTACTGGACAAGAGGAATTTTTCAATGGCAGACATATATTAGTTGCAATTGCATATATGCTAACTCTGTCTGCATTCCTCTCACATACCTTACATTAAATTACTGCTTATTATTTCCGAATTCAATTATAGATGTAGGTACCTAATATACACAACTGTCATAATATATTATACTAACCTCCTCCAACCCAAAAAAAATTAGATAGGGAATATACTACGTATGATACATTATAGAAAAGATTGGTTCAGTTTAGTTTTAATGGCAAAAATCGGATAATTTTGATATTTTTACCCTGCCAAATCCACTACCAATTATTTTATTAATAAAATCAAAAGTGAGGCTAAATAGCACGAGATTAAAATTCTTGTAAAATTCTAGAACTCCGAGAACGATTAGTAATCATTTAGGAATACAATCTATTGGTTGTTGAAACAATTCACTAAAAAAAAGGTAGATTAAGAGTGGTATACATCGGAGAGCTAATAACACAAATTTCATTAAGTGTTTGATGCACTTTAAAATTTTGTAATTTGAAATAATTTGGATGGAAAAGCAGATATACCTGTGTTGGCTAGACCCACCCCGGGACACCAGGTACTGCGCATAATAGAAAGGGGTCGTAATATATGACCCATAAAAGTATTTGATTCAATTGAAAGTTTAGGCAATTCTATAAATACTAGTAATTTAGGCAGACACTTTTGAGAGGGTTTATAGTTAATAAATCAACCCCAAAATTGATTTTTTTTAAATATGATTTGAAGTGTTTGATTCACACTGAAATTTTAATAGCGTCTTAATTAAATATAAAAAAAAATTAATTCCAAAAAGGCAGACACTTTTTCCGGGGTTCAATTGCCGGCCAACATAAAAATAAGTCTTATTTACTTTAGAAAGAGATAGGCTGCATATGGCTGTTGTAGGTGTGAGTGAGAGCGCTGATCAGAGATATCGTAAAAAATTCCGGTTGTCTACCGATTTCGGGCCTTGAGTTATTAATTTGTTAATTAGCGAGGTCGAAACAATCGAACAATAAACAATTATGTTTGAAAAAATCTTGTGCTGATGGTTCGCCTTAACATACCAGAAATGCTAAAAAAAAAATCCGGTTCTCTAGTGATTTCGGGGGTTGAGTTTTTCATTTGTTAATTAGCCAAGTTACAACAATTTAGCAATAATTAATAAATTTGACACCAAAGTGATAAAGAGGGACCTCGAAACCCCACGATAGAACATTTTCCAGACATTTTCGTTGAAGCGTGTGTGACATTTGCTACATATTCTTTAACACTCTAACAAAAATGCCTCATTTGTTAAATAAACAATTATTAATTTGCAAGCGTACAGAGGATATATATACCTTTTGTTATAGACGGTTTCCTGAACATTTTGCAGAAAACCGCATCTCAATCGAATCTCTCCGAAGAAAGTTGAAGGTAAAATGCTAATTTGACGCCACTACATGGCTCTAATTAAATCATCTATAACATCCGCTAGAGCTATAGCACAGCTGTAGCCTGACCGAAAAACCAGATTGTTTACTAGGTAATATACTGTTGTTTTTCAAAAACCCCCTCATTTAATTTTCCATTACTCTCTTATAATTTGGAGAAAACAGGTAAACTACTAATTGATCTTAAATCACTGTATTCTTCAGGTAAAGTAACTTTTGGTAAGGGCAAAACTTTAGCGAATTTCCATGATTTTTATGAACTTTTTATGAACCTTCGTACTAAACCTCAACCACTCACATGACTACTCAACCCCTATTCATTACTCAATTGTTTAAATAGATATAGGAAAACATGGAAATAATAGTACTTTTTCCTGTTTGCTGAAGTTTTAAAACTCAATTATATTGTTTAACACTTCAACCCGTGCTCTAAACTAATCCTTTTTTAAAGTAGGTAGTTGTAACAAAAAGTTTAGCAAAAAAAAATCAATGTGTTACTCGTTGGCTACTCACGAGATTTTCAAAATTGATACTTACCACCAATTGAATATAGAGTAAATTCCGTAATAGGTGTAATAACATTCACGTAAGGTTGATGACACAGTTTTTTGAAATTTTCTACAAGTATTTGGGTTTCTCTGTTCAACATGTCTGTAAACTCTTGTAATATATTGAAATGAAATGCTGGCGTTAAAATTTTTCTTCTTTTGTGCCATTTTGTACCTTAAAAATAAATTTAAAAATAATTTTTATATAATACATATTTTTTTTTTTTAATTCAACAAACCTTCACTAGTGAGAAGTCCAGTACCTAACCATGCATGAAGAAAATCGTAAACAAAGCCTTTAGTGTTATGTTTTGTGTTGCTTAGGACAGGCTACAATATAAAAATTATTGTTTTAATAAATATCTAAACTAATTTAATAACAGCGTCATACTCGTTGTTTTCAAATGGATTAATGTGTACAATTTTACAGAAAATACACCTACAGTTTGTGAAACAAGAGTGGATACGATGGCTATACATGGTGTTTTTTAACCATGCAACAAAAAGACAAGGGGTTGTTCCTTGGACTATTCTAAGAATATTTTGTTTTTTGATGATTTTTTTAAATTCCGTTTCGTTTAGGAGATACAGGGCGCACAACATTTTTGAGAAAACTATTTTATTATTTTTAAAATTATTAATAGTCTAAATAAAAATAGCTGTGTTAACCAAGAACATACAACTTTTTTAAAAATTCGTTATATTTATTATTTTTTAACAACATTCCAATTACTAAAAACGGCTATTTTTTTCCACTTAAAACAGGTAAAAGTTCAGACATCGTAAAGAAATACAGATTAAATCTGGATTTCACTTGAATTTGTCTAGTGATTGATCATTTGGTAGTTAAAATTTTGTTACCGACTTTATCATGAATCACTATACAAACGCCGAGATGACTGACATGCAATACATTTATGGTCTTGCTGATGGAAATTCATTAGAAGCTAGGAGGTTGTACATTGGACGATTTCCTGACCGTAATATTCATGATAGAAAATTGTTCCAAAATATTCATCAACGTCTTCATGACAAAGGCGCATTGAGACAAAGTAGAGGGCCAGAAAGGCCAAATGCAGCAAGAACGGTGGAAGTGGAAGAAAATGTGCTGGACATGATCGAGGAAGATCCGAGTACTACTCGAAAAATTGCAAATACTTTGAATGTGAGTTATTCGATTGTTTGGAAAATTATTAGGGACAATTTGTTATAGCCATACCACATACAACGCATTCAGGCACTTCTTCCTGCTGATTTTCCTCCACTTATTGCATTTTTTTGCTGGAGATAGTCATTTTTAACAGTTCTTGTAGATTAAGTAACATTTACATGTATTTTTTGGTAATAAAATGATGTTATTGTCTAAAGTTTTATTCGCCCTGTATCTCCTTAACAAAACGGATTTTTAAAAATCATCAATGGACAAAATATTCTTAGAATAGTTTAAGGAACAACCCTTTGAATTTTTGCCGCTTGTTTAAGAAACACCCTGTATAACCCGAAGACGAAGTTTGATCACGTTATGATAATTTCTATTTCAACCGTGCGGAGGCATGTCATTGTCATCAGAGCAACTTGATGCAAATATCAAGGGGATTGAAACTGAGAATGACTTTCATGGATCTGGTCGATGTGGTTTTCATGGCTCCTGGTACCTTGAGAGATGCTGTTATTTAAAATTGTTCTAGTTTGAGGATAGCTGTTAATTTTTATACAACTTGTACACTTTTTAGTATTCAGACAACTGCACCATATGTTAGCATAGATCTTATTATCACGTCCAGTAAAATATTAAAAAACCATTATTAAAATACATTAAATAAATTATTACAATTTTAAATAAATCCTAAAATAAAAATAATTATCTCTAATAGAAAATTTCAATAATCTCTTAAATATAAATATATCCTTTTAAATAATATTGTATACATTTCAAAACAAAAACATAGACATTGAACTATTAACATGACCTGAATAAATTGTGTAGAATTAAAGTAATTCAGCAAATAGTTAATAGGTATACATTCGACACTGATTACTGTTACGAGGACAGTTTTCTTTTTACTGTACTGGGAGGTATCTAAAGTAATAAATATCTTTTAGTTATAGGATCAAACGTACTTACCTTAAGTGAAGTCCTGAATTTGTATCCCTGGAGTGGATGTTATTTTGGAACTTTCAACTGGTCCGAGTGAGCTAATTGATTCTTTAGCAATAAACTGTGACTCCAAAAATAATATTCACTGACACTGACAGCAGCAAGCAAAATATCAGGTGCGTTTTAATCATCCGCTTCTGCTTCCGGAATTGTCGGTTTAGTCGTTTTAACCTGTCAGATTAAAACAAGAAAACCGACAATTCCGAAGCAGAAGCGGATGATTAAAACGCACCTATTAAAAATATTGCGCCAAGATATAATAGGCAACACGTAATAAGGGTTCAAAATGGCAAAGTTTTCTATCTCCTTTTAAAAGGCACTCAGAAGGCTGCGCAGTGCGACCATTCTCCGTATAGTAAAAGAAAATCAAAGTATGTGGTGTCAGTGAATATTATTTTTGGAGTCACAGTTTATTGCTAAAGAATCAGTTAGCTCACTCGGACCAGTTGAAAGTTCCAAAATAACATCCATTCCAGAGATACAAATTCAGGATACGCAGAAGACTGCTGTTTTATTATAGGCGGTTGTCATATATTGTATTATCCGAGTTGAGCAGTGTATAAACTGGAACATTGAGATCAAAAGTGCCGACGCAGAGTGAGCGATCTGATTCTTTAGCTATAAACTGTGACATAGGAATTAAAATGGCCGCGCAATATGTAAGGCGTGTCGGACCTCTCTCTTGCACCGTATAGTAATCAAAGTATGTGATCCGATGACACGATGACAGAATTCTATTGTTTATAATCGATATATTCTATAAAATGATATTTATATTTTGATGTATCTACTGTAAAATTATTAAAAAAAAATACAAAAATAATCATTAAAAAGCCATTTTAACTATAAAGTAAAATCAGCTGATGAACTAACGCAGTTAATGTCATGTTTTAATTTGTTAATTTGTATTATGACACATTAGATTTTCTGAATGAAAATCTATTTTTCCTTTAAATTACAGTGTTGCCGGTGTTTTTATTCAAAGTGGGGCCGAGTGAAACAAAAAATACCTAATAATTATTTTCTGACATTTAAATTTTGTGCTCTTTTTAAAAAAATCAAAATTATACCTTTTAAAATGTAAAATTTGGTAAAATTATTTAAAATTTGTGAAAATAACGTAGAAATTTTTACAAAAGTGGAAGTTAATACCAAAAGAAGGCACTTTTTTGTGTCTACGGTGCAAACAGCCGTTAAAACTTTCTGTAGATGCAAGATCGTAAGTTGTATTTTTTGTAACATTTTTTATAATGTTTGTATTTATGATTTTGATAAACTGACTTAGTAATTTACCAATTATTTAAACTGTAACAGTATCGGTTGTTACTATTTTATTTTCAATTTAAAATATATACATTTTATTTTAGGGCTGATCATTATTATTGGCAATGCCAAAATAGTGTTCGAATTAACAAAAAAAAAAAAAAACGGCGGCCATGTGGATACAGAAGCAGTTTAAGGAAGGGTACTTTTTTGGAAATCAAAATTACCAATTTTTAAAATTTTGGGATTTGTAAATTTGTGGGTTCATCATGTTACATTAGGAGCAATTTGCATTCAACTAGAGATAAATAGAAGAACGGCAGTAGACTGGGCGAGCTTTTGTAGAGAAGTGATACTAAATGGTTTGTTGAGAAATGAGGAAAAACTTTGCGGGCCTGATAAAATAGTAGAAATTGACGGGAGCAAATTTGGGAAAAGAAAGTATATGTGGAAGGACAATGGATATTTAGAGGTTACGAAAGGGGAACAGGCAGAATATTTATGATGGCTGTTAAAAGTCGTGATATTGATATACTTTCTCCTATTATTGAAAAATATATCGAGAAGGGCACTTCTATTATATCAGACTGTTTTAAGTATTACGTTTCATTCATCTCCTAACCCCTAGAGAAGAGAGCAAGCGAAGCGAGCGCGGCCGGTCGACGTTTCGAAATTCGCGCGCTTTTTTATACCTACATCATAATAGCAAGGTACGTTCGTCCCATCCATCTCCGTACCCCTACAGAAGAGAACAAGCGAAGCGAGCGCGGCCGGCCGACATTTCGAAATTCGCGCGAAAATCGAAACGTCGGCCGGGCGCGCTTTTACTACACCTACACCATAAGTGCTAGGTACATTTGTCTCTACTACTTCCTAACCTCTACAGAAGAGAGCGAGCGAAGCGAGCGCGCCCGGCCGACGTTTCGAAATTCGCGCGAAAATCGAAACGTCGGCCGGGCGCGCCTTAATTATACCTACACCATACGCGCAAGGTAAGTTCGTCCCATCCACCGCCTAACCTCCTACAGAAGAGAGCGAGTGAAGCGCAACATCAGCAGGGAGCGCTTGCTTGCTTCTGTCGTAATTAGGAGATGAGTGAGAAGAGCGAAGTGTTAAATTATCTCTCTCTGGATCAAAATAATTTTTTGAATATTTGAAATATTTTTATTTTAAAAATAAAACAAAAAATGTTGAACACCGTAATTTAAAAAAGGAGTGTATCGATGTACGTTTTAAATGGAATGCAGATGAAAGTATCCACCGAGTAACGTCAGGGCTAACCTAGCAGAAATTGAAATAATTCAGCTATCCTCTTTAGTTGATAGAGAACAAAGTTTCAAAAAGATTTATGTTCATATACTGAGCAAGCTTGAACATTTTCCAAATAATTTGCAATTCCTCTTAAATTTTCTGTTCAACTATAATGCTCTAATTTTACTGAAGTAATCAGCCATATTGTTTTTTTTTTATTTATTATGAATTTTTGTTTTATTCTTGTTAAGATTGATAATTTCTCTTGTGTACCATACTGGATATTGTAACGATTGTTCATTAAAAACAGTTTATTTATAATTTATTCATAACGTACTAATTAATTTATTTAATACTTAGGCACTATTATAACTCACAATTCTAGTTTAATTTTTACAATGCATCCTTACTATACAACACTTATATTGAATCAACGTCTATCGACAATCTCGAGACGTGTCTCGATATGGCCAGCGCTGGACTTTATGTCACGGGTACGGTAGTAAACATAGAACAGAGTCGGCTTCAGGCGATCTCACGATAATATTTATGCTTAAACTGAAACATAGGCATCCAGTATTTCGTACAACATTATAGAAACTTTTAACTGCTAGATTAGAATCACTAAAGTCGTTTAACTCATATCCATCAACAAGAAATGCAATTTAAATACTAACGGTTATTACACTTGATTGTCCCAAAATTTAGATACTGTAATATTGCATTTTTATATTATAATTTATAAATAATCAGCATAATATTTTAATATAAATTCAGGTACCATTCCATTTGTGAATTAGTTCTAATTATTTAGTAATTGTAAATGTATATTTTTTGGTTTTAATAAAAGTGCTTTTTAAAAAGTTACTTTTGTTTACTCAAAATATTTCTCGCGGTAAATACTAAATATTGATTATATTCATAAATACTTTAAACGTACCTCAATATCTTCTGGACACATATTGTAAACAGCGGCAAAGTCTAAACTCCAAATTTTATAAATTGGAAAAAATTCCTTAGCTCTTTCTCTTTCCTTGTCCCATAGCGTTTCTGAAAAAAGAAAAAATCAATATAAAAATAATGGATAGTTAGTACAAGACACAAAATTTATAAAAAGGCCGGTCATGCTCTAGTCTCTTAAGTCTTTTTTACCTTATTTTGGCCACCACTGGTCTAAATACCAAAAATATTTAAAAAATAAGTCAACCCCCGATACCAAACTTAATGTTCCGACTATGGCAAATGAAACAATAATTTAAAATTGACAAGGGGGGTAGCCATGTGTGAGTTGAGGTAATTTTAAGGTGAAGGGGGAGAAAAAGTCCTTTATATCTCACAAGGAAAGTCAATGTTTAATTATTTAACAAAACATTGAGTGCGACCGGTTTCGAAGTGTCATCACTTCATCTTCAGGCTCGCCTAGTGGAAAGGAGAATATGTGGTGTAAGGTGTGTTAACACTTAGAGCAAACGATATATAAAATAGTAAAAAAGAGAAAACTCACCATACTCTCCATCCACTAGGGAATACTACAAAACAAGTTTCATCAAATGTTGGGTGAAATAAATTGTAAAATGAACAAAGTTTACAAGTAATAAAAAGTTAAAAATATTTGAAAAACAAATATTAGTCAATTGAAATAGTAAAATTTAAAATATTCAAGACTATACAAAACAAATCACATACATTAAACAGATTAAAAGATAAGGCTTATTTTAAACAACCTTGTTTTTTCAAAAAACTAACATTTTTGAAAGGAGACCTGTCAAGTTAAGGCATCTACAGGTGGTGGCAAGTATTAACAAAAAATTTCACATCCGTCATTTTCTTCTTTTATTCTTCAGTTGCTTCACAACAGTTAACCCAGTCATTTCTTCTTCTTCTTCTTTCTTCTTCCTACAACATCACATACACTTGGTGATTGGTTCATGGCCCAAATCTTATATAATAAATAATAAATATTTCTTCACTCATAGTTTACATCTTATTACCTATACCCTGTCATGGGTTTACCCAAGAATTTTTTTGTTAATACTTGCCACCACCTGTAGAGGCCTTAACTTGACAGGTCTCCTTTCAAAAATGTTAGTTTTTTGAAAAAACAAGGTTGTTTAAAATAAGCCTTATCTTTTAATCTGTTTAATGTATGTGATTTGTTTTGTATAGTCTTGAATATTTTAAATTTTACTATTTCAATTGACTAATATTTGTTTTTCAAATATTTTTAACTTTTTATTACTTGTAAACTTTGTTCATTTTACAATTTATTTCACCCAACATTTGATGAAACTTGTTTTGTAGTATTCCCTAGTGGATGGAGAGTATGGTGAGTTTTCTCTTTTTTACTATTTTATATATCGTTTGCTCTAAGTGTTAACACACCTTACACCACATGTTCTCCTTTTCACTAGGCGAGCCTGAAGATGAAGTGATGACACTTCGAAACCGGTCGCACTCAATGTTTTGTTAACTAATTAAACATTGACTTTCCTTGTGAGATATAAAGGACTTTTTCTCCCCCTTCACCTTAAAAATAATTTAAAAACCCTTATTTATTGATAAGAAACAAAACACAATTTTTAAATAAGGGGGTTGGGTGTGGGTAACCCCCATAGCTCTACTATATCCGATCCCAGCTTGCACCCTGTCATAAACCATATCAAAAATAATCAATAACCTTTTCTGGGCGGTTGCCCAGAAAAGGTATCCAAAAAAGGGGTGAGGGAAGGAGATAGACCCACTCTTCGAATTTTTCTTATTTTTTAATTACTTATCTATACAACCAATATCTCAAAATAAAATTATTTTACCCTCACCTCCTTGCCCCCCCCCCCCTCCAGCAACATACACTTTTGGGGAGAAGGTGCAGTGACTTGGCCGTGGGAAGTGTAATTTGTTTCGTCTGAAAGTCCAATCCGTCGTACCAGAAGTTTATTTTCCTAAATAAAAATATTTATAGTCTCACCAAAAATCGATATTCATGTCATTCAAAATTTTTCTGAGCGCTACAAATATTAATATGAATAATTCTGAGTATATTATTGTACGTCATATCTTTGATTAACAATTTTAAAAGCTTCAATTTTTTCACATTTCAATTCATTTAGTACATCTAGTTCAGCACACTCCATAAGATTGATTAAATAATGAAGATACACAAATTCTTGAATTATTTATTCAGCATAGTTTATCTTACTTCTTAAATTTTGTAACTAAAATTTAAAGGTTGGACATTCCAAACTTCTGAAATGCCTAATAGTAAAACCACTATATACGGTGTAATAATTCTGGATTTTATGTAAATTTCTTGTAGTTTTTTTAGTTATTTTGGATTTAAGGGTTTACTACAATTGTTCAGTCATGAGTTATGTACACGGTAGTGTACAGTGAAGCACAACCTACAAAAGGTTTGATGGTGAGTGTGCGCAAAGGTGAGGTGCTGAAAGGTGATGCGCAATGGACAGGAAACGCCATTCTGTAACAAGCCATGTTAAAGGCAAGAAGACGACAATTAATGTATATTTATCGACGTTATAAAAACCAGTGTAGAACAAGGTAGTGTTTTATTTCCTGTTCCACGAGTATAGAACAACAATAAAACACAGTTTCATTTTGTATTTGTAAAGCCTTAGACGTTTGTTTATGCCTTCTTCACTACTTTCTGTTATTTTTTAAATATTTTATTTATTTTTTTTTTTTACATTATACTACTATACTAACTTATGTAATAAAATATCTCCAGAGTTGAGATTAGGGTTTAATTATATTAATGTCAGAATGACAATCAACAACATATATAGAATGTACTTTTCGGAGCGCAATATACGGCATGTCCTACACAATCTCCCCTTCTAAAAAGTTATCACTCCTGTGATAAAACTGGCGAATATTGCTAACATGAGCTTCTTCCTGTTTATCAGCATCCTTAAAATGCACATATGCGAGAACACCTTGTATATATTTTACTTTACAAACTTGGAAGGGTCCTCTGGTTATGTATTCTTTACCAGTTTTCTGACTTCGAACTAAAATCCAATCCCCGTCCTTAAGTGTAGGTGGTTTTCTTTTCCTATATTTGTTAGCTTGTTCTTGAATTTTTTGTTTGTATTTTATTTTAGGATTTTCCTTAATATCGATTTCTAAACCTAATTCCATATCGGCAGCTAAAATTTTGCTTTTCCCATATAACTTAAAATATGGTGAACATCCCAAGTATTCATTGTGAGAATAATTGTGATGCTGTACGGCACATTCCAATGCGACCTTCCATCCTCCTGGAAAGTTATTATAATAACTCATGAAGCTCTTCAAATCTCGTATAACTCTCTGCTAAGCCATTTCCTGCTGGATGGTACGGTGTGGTAGTTATCAAGTTAATGCCATGTTCTGTAGCCCATTCTGTAATAACTTTCGAAGTGAAAGCACTTCCACGATCGCTCACTATCTTTTTTGTTCGATCAATAAAAAGATGTTTACTGAGGTATGTTTTCACAGCAATACTTGATTCTTTTATTGCTTTTGCAGTAACATATCTAGTTGCTTCATCAATTACCACAATGAAAGATTTTGTGGTTCTGTTGCCTTCTGCCTTTTTACACATTTCTGCAAAATCGATATGTATTGTCTCGAAAGATTTTTGTGAGTTTGAGGTTAAATGAACATAATTTGGTTTTGGCAGATATTTGAATTTAGCATGCTGACAAACAGAGCAGGTTTTTATATATTCTTTTATATCTCTACTAATAGATTTCCAAAAAAAACGCTGTTTAATTTTGTAATAACATTTGTAATATCCATCATGTCCCCCTGAATGTGGATCATCATGATAAAGTTGAAGAATATCTTTTATCCTATCTTTTGTCTTTACTAGATATTTACCATTCTCCATTCTCGTTAGATTTTGGATGTTTAAGTTACACCAAAAAGATTGTGAGGTATTTTCTGGAATGTCTATACATAATCTGCTGATTGCGTCCACGTCTTGGATCTCCCGTCCTCTTTTATGGGAATAACATTACACCACCACAAAGGAAAGAAAAGAAAAGGAAAGTGGCCGATACTTCCGCTTCGGGCAGTTATGCAACTGTCGTGAAGACGGAGCGGGTCGCGATCCTACCTAAGGGGTTCCCTGAGACCATCCTCAGTGCGAACGAACAAACCTTGGTGGAAGAAGCCCTGGTAGAAGAGATGTTCGCTGGATGGGAGCATAAGCTCCAATTCGGAGGCATCCACTTCCGGCCAGGAATGGTCTTGATCGACTGTGAAACTCCACAGTCAGCAGAATGGCTCAGGGCAAAAATACCACACCTGAGCAACTGGAAGGGAGTGGAGTTGGAGGTATGTGCGGGAGACGACATCCCGAAAGCACATACAGCCACGCTCTTTCTCCCAAGAAGTCAAGGGAAGCCTGTAGAGAAGCTTCTACAGTTAATAGAAGCGCAGAATGTGGGGCTATCGACCACACTGTGGAAAATCGTCAGTCAAAAAGACGAGGGCAAAGGCCAGATCCTTAGGTTAGGAATAGATGACCTATCCTGCCAACGGATCAAGGATAGTGGATGTACTATCCACTATCGATTCGGGAAAATCCCCGTATACGGCCTTCAAAAGAAAGAAGAATTAAAGGAACTGGGAGGAACAACAGAACCAACTCCTAGTACTTCCAAAGATGAGACTGATGTGGAGAGCATAGAGAGCCTTAACCTCTCAAATCTCTGCGTAGACTCATCTGAGGATGTAAAAATTGATGAAGAAGCAGAAGAGGGGGATATGGAACGCACCCTCACCGATGGGTACAACACCCCCCATTAAAGGAGAGAAAAATGGCGGGCATCAACATCGCCCAAGTGAATGTCCATCACGCCAAGGGAGCCTCGGTTGTGATATCTAGGACATTCACTAAAGATCAATTAGGGATCGTATTGATCCAGGAACCGTGGGTCTATGGAAACCAGGTAAGAGGACTTGCATGTAAGGATGCAAGGGTAATTTATCACACTAGTGATGAAGTACCCAGAACATGCATAATGGTAAGAAGTAATATTAAATATTCTTGTCTTTCAGAATTCATGACGCGTGATCTCGTTCCAATTCGAGCATACCTGGAATTAGGGATGAGGCGGCAAGACATAGTAATAGCTTCTAGTTACTTCGCTGGAGATGGGCATGTACCACCCCCGGAAGTATCGAGGCTAGTGGAGTACTGCCAGAGAAGACATCTGCCATTACTTCTTGGATGCGACGCCAACGCGCACAGCACTGTATGGGGAAGCAACGACACCAATCAAAGAGGTGAGCAACTTTTAGAATATATTTTTAATAAGAACCTTATTGTGCAAAATATTGGGAATACTCCAACATTTGTAACAAGGGCAAGAAGTGAGGTATTAGACATCACATTAAGCACACCGAGCATTAAAGATCTAGTTAAAAACTGGAGGGTATCGAGTGAACCATCTCTATCTGGTCACAAGATAATTGTGTTTACGTTAGAGAGCGACATTCCTGAGACGATCCTCAGGAGGAATCCTAGAAAAACAGACTGGGACAAATACAACACCATTCTAAAACAAAATTTAGCACGTATCCAGACAAAAAAGGAGCCGGGGCATCCACTTGCTCTGGAAAGCGATCTCGAAGAACTAAATGAGGCAATACTTGAGGCATATGAATCAAGCTGCCCCATTCAAAGAAATAGGACTAGTAGGGATGCTCCTTGGTGGAACCGTCATCTGTCAAACTTACGATCCGAAGTCAAGCAGGAAGATCTACAGAAACTGCCCTGGTACAGTTGACTGATGTAATCCAGGATGCACTGACAAACAAAGAAACGGTCGTGTGTGCCTTTCTAGACATAGAAGGAGCTTTTAACAACACGCCACACGAATCTGTAAAAAGAGCACTTGCATACAGAGGAGTAGATAACATCACATCCAGATGGATGGCTCAGCTGTTATCTTCGAGAACTGCAGAGACACAGATAGGGCAGGACACCATCTCCATCTGCACAACCAGAGAATGTCCAAAGGAGGAGTTCTATCCCCACTAATGTGGAGCCTAATCGTAGACGAACTTCTATGCAGATTGACTGACCTCGGCACACCCTGTCAAGGTTATGCCGACGACATAATCATATTTGCTAGTGGCAAGTTTAGTAATATCCTGTGTGATATAGTCCAAAGAGGACTAGAACATACCAAAAGATGGTGCCGTGAAGTGGGACTTAGTATAAACCCTACAAAAACAACACTAGTAGCCTTTTCAAGGAAAAGAAAACTTAATCTCAAAACCGGTAAATTAGACGGGATAGATATAGAATGGAAAAATGAAGTCAAATATCTAGGCCTAACCCTGGACAACAAACTTCTCTGGAACACACATGAGAAGGAAGTAGTAAATAAGGCCACAAAAGCCCTAATGGTATGCAGAAACATGGCGGGTAAACGATGGGGATGTAACCCAAACATACTGCGATAGATGTATACTGCAATAGTGAGACCAATCATCACTTACTACGAGAGCTAATATTTCAAAAGTACAAAGACTAGCCTGTGTTTGCATTACTGGTGCAATGAGAACCTGTCCTACGGCCGCAATGGAGGTGATCTTAAACCTCACCCCTCTACATTTGATGATAGAGAATGTGGCAAAAAGGACACGATATAGAATGATCAGGAGCGGAGTAATCAGACGAAAGTCTACTTGCTTCAGGACTAAAGATACCTGGAACATGCCCCAGGATGAAATGCAAAAGAAGTACAGTTTTGTGAAAAACTTCAAAACCACAGAGCTGGGCTGCAAGAAAGAATGGAGCCAAGAATCCATCGCGCTTGCAACCGAAAGACGTGCTATTCAGTGGTACACGGACGGTTCCAAAACCATAGAAGGAACTGGAATAGGAGTGTATGGGCCGAGAACCAAGCACTCCAAAAGCTTGGGAAAATACCCAAGCATCTTCCCGGCGGAAATTCACGCCATCGAGAAGTGTATCCAGTTTAGCATCGAGAGAAACTATCATAGACAAGAGATTATCATCATGTCCGATAGTCAAGCAGCCATCAAAGCGCTGAGTTCTTACGTAATCAGCTCAAAAATGGTATGGAGATGCCTAGAACAATTGAATGAGCTAGGCGAGAAAAATAGAGTTACTCTCACTTGGGTCCCGGGACATAACGGGGTACAGGGTAACGAGATTGCAGATAGTCTTGCAAGGAAAGGGGCTCAAACACCCTTTGTAGGACCTGAGCCGTTCTGCGGTATCAGCAGTAACATAATATTAGAAGAGAATAAAAAAGAATTGGGTAGTAGAAGAACCGATAATTGGAACAATCTCTTGGGGCTGAGACAGGCCAAGATACTTCTGGGTGAATATAACCAAAAAAGATCGGAAGCCTGCATCTGCCTGAGCAAGAACAGGCTACGTATTGTAACAGGGATCCTTACCGGGCACTGCCGACTAAAAGGACACCTAAGTAAACTGAGAGTAGTAGAGGATAGTGAGTGCAGATTCTGTGAGGAGGAGGACGAAACCTCCATTCACATCCTAACTGAATGTGTAGCACTCCAGAATCCAAGGGCACTATATCTAGGAGGATATCAAATAGAAGAGGGAGACTTACCTAACTTGAAGCCACTTCAAATCCTACACTTCCTTGAGAAAATAGGATTGGAAGGGTTGCTATAGGCATTGAGACATTTCCTTAGTGCAGTGGCGACAGAAGGGGGCACAATAGATCTTTTAGGTCGCAGTGTATTAACACCCCATTATCAACATAACATAACATAACATGGTTTATCTCCATGTCAAAACATCTTAAAAATAACTGCCATCTTGCAAGACGATCTCTCAAATTTCCTGTACTTAATAATTGTCTATATTTGGCAATAACAAGACCCATGATAACTTATGGAGCGGTTGTTTGGTGACTAAAAGTAAACCAGAAAACAGTCCTCAATATTATCTTAGAAAAACAGAGACTGGCATGCCTTTGTATTACAGGAGCACTGAGAAGTACACCGACATCCTCTATGGAAATCATTCTAAACCTCCCACCTCTTGACCTAGTCATAAAGGGGGAGGCCAGAATGAGTGCATACAGACTGGAAATCTCCAACAATTGGAACCCACTGGGACATATAAAACATACCAGAATAACATATGAAGTAAATGATTCTATATTAAATATGGGATCCGATCACATGACACCCCTCCTAACCATTAACAGCTCTTCCAGGTCAACTGTAACTGGAACGAGGTAAATAAGAAGATAGATAAATACTTAGCGGTCTCGTATGGTATACGGATGGATCTAAAACTAACAAGGGAACAAGCTTTGGCGTACATGGAGTTAAACCCAAATGCAACATCATCGTCCTACTGGGAAAACATGCCACTGTATTTCAGGCTAAAATACATGCAATCGAATTGTGTGTACGAGAGAATTTAAGAAGGAAGTACAAAAAGCAAACCATTCCAATTCTCTCAGAGAGCCAAGCAGCTTTAAAGGCTTTTGATTCAAACAGAATCAAGTCGAAGCTTGTCTGGAACTGCCTTGGAATACTAAATGATCTGGCAACTCACAACAAGGTAAAACTAGCGTGTGTACGAGGGCACAAAGGTATCCAAGGAAATGAAAAGGCTGATGAACTTGCCAAAGAGGGATCAGATCTACCATTCACAGGACCCGAACCTGTATTTGGGATAAGCAAAACATCTTCTCGACAGGCAGTGAACAGGTGGATAACCACAAAACACCAAATTCACTGGCAATAGATAAGAGGGCACAGAATCAGTAAACTTATGCTAAGGGGACCAAACCCACGCATGGCTACTGAGGCACTACAACTCGCAAGGCCTCAGATATCCACCATTGTGGGATTACTAACGGGTCACTGCTTGCTGAAACTCCTTCATGTAATGGGATTACACAATGATCCCACTACGTGTATACTTTGCATGGAAGAGGAAGAAACCTCATACCATGTGATCTTCAAATGCGAAGCTCTTACTGTGCGACGTTTCATCCTTTTCGGCCTAGAACCGGAAAGAACGCCCCAGGAACACTTGGTAGGGAACCTATTAAAACTAATCAAAGACACAGGACTATTCCAAAGATAGTACCTGAATATGGGGAAAGCAGGGGAATACAATAGACCCAAGAGGCCGCAGTGTTCTGGGCCAAACCTAATCCTACCTGCTTACAACCGATAAAGAAGATAAAGATACTAACTTATTAACATTGTTTTGGTTTTGAATTTTTTTTGATACAATAATTATATTCATCTTTTTGCATGTAAAAGCATGTATCCAACATTTGACTTTGTAGTTAGGGTTGTTATAGGTTTCTATTTTTATTATAATATGTTCCTAAATTGTCTTGTATTGTTTGTTGATTTGTGTGTTTACTATTTGTTTCTTCTTTTCCGAACCCTCATCAGGCCGGTTAACTTATAATTTTATTGGGTTTAGAATTTATTTACTTTTTAGTTTGCACCATGTTTTGAAATTTTTGTAATGGCGCCATTTTACAAAAAGCGTACAAAACTTTACAAATACAAACGAAATCGTGCTTTATTCAAGAAACACCTAATACCCAAGAAAACTACAAACGAAAAAATAATTCAAGGTGACAGAATCATAAAGTATCAGAATTCCTAATAATTTATGAGATAATCAACAATAGAAACTATATCGGTGGTATCTTACCTGTGGTATATACTTTATATGCACACCCTATCACGGGATAAGCCTTGGGTCCGGGAATGCGCATAATATATTTCCAAAATTCCTCATTTCTTTTTTGCCTTCTTTTGTAATAAAATATTAATAATGGTAACAAGATGATCACAAGTAACAATGACAACATACTCGCCATAAATCAACTGATTAATTAATAAGGTCTAACGGTCAGCGCTCAATCTTGTTATTATCAACAATACATTGTTAATGTTTATTTATAAAACAATTTTCACCAAATAACTTTCCTTATGTATTTTGCTTTTATTAAACTAATTTTACACAAAAATGCACTTATCTCATTATGTTTACCACAACTAATGTAATACGAGGGCTGTTCTCTTTCCGTCGAGCCTATCCTAGTAAAGTAAAACTGTTTATTTACAAAAAACAATTATTTATAATTTTTAAAAGTTTTCTCTTCCAAGGTCAATGCATTTAAACATCCGCGAAAATAATTCTTGAAAACATTTTCTTCAATATTCTGGTCGTAGTTTGTTTATTTCATTTGAGTAATTTCAAATTTCAAAGTCAAAATTTAAATGCAGGGTATACAAAAAGTAACGTAACTTACTAATATATAGATTTCTGATAGGTTTACAAAAAAGTTTTGAATAAAACTTTTATTAAATAAATCAGATCAATAAGATATACTGGAATGACTCCAAAATTACACAAGAATATATTTTTTTAAATAATTCATTGTACCTTATTAAATTTAAAATTAAACCGTTAAAACCGCAGTTTGCTAATTTTGTTAGCTCAAATCACGGCGTACTATAAAGGTGTTTCAACTCCCTGAAAAAAACATACCAAAACCGATCGTACTTCCTAGCCAAAATCCGCTAGGTTCGCTAGTGTCGTTACGGCGGAAAATTGCGGCAATCTTTTTATCTGTCAAAAAAGTGCAATCATAAAAATAGTTCTTTTATGGTGAAAATACGAGTTTATATGAAATGAAAAATGACAAAACTATCAGAAGGAGTACAGATGAAAAAATTAATGGTCAACAAATAAGTTTATTGTTATTGATGGTTGCTTATAAGTGTTTTTTTTAAACAAGCTGCACTGATGTGTGAGTTTATACGATCAAAAAAAGTGTTGAAGATTTAATAAATATGCTCCAATTAAGTTACAAGTTGCTGCCAGAGACTTGCTACTAAATAAGTGAAATGGGGGTGTTTATAAAGAACAGCTGATTTTGTTTTGTGTTCAAATATTACCTTTGGCTTTGGCAAAAACAGCAATACAGTGGGTTACTGATTATAAAATGAAGACGTGGACCTTAACTATGGTACTCAGATTGAAGCTTATTATTTTCAAAGTGAATTTTGTGATTTTCATTGCCCAGATTAAAGATATTCAATAAACATTTAGTTTTATACCTACTATAATCAAATCCATACATAGTGATTGGAATTACAAACATTTCTGTGAAATAGCATTATACCAGAATAATGAAGTCTCACTGGACTGGAGTATATATGTTTCCAAAGATCAGTAAGTACCTATATCAATTATTAATATTTTTATTAATAAGTATCAGTAATAAATACATCTCAAAGAATAACAAGGTTGTAACTGTACTTTTTGGAAAAAATGAGATTGGTAGAATATATTATTTAATTTGTTTTTGTGACCAATATGTTCATCTGTTAATTATCAATGTTGTGTTATCGAAGCACTAAAGTTATTCACTTGGTTCTATCTGCATGTACATAGAACTTATACAGTTTTTAGCAAGTGTCATTATAGTAGTCAGATCTTCGTTATTCCCTAATCCCTAGCAAATGTAGTCTCCATCCTCCACAATTATATTAAGATTAAAGGCCAGGTTTTCACCTCTGAATAAAGTTGAAAGTAACTACTTGCTGATTAGGCTATAGATTATACTTACACCTAACTTTACTCAGAGGTTAAAAAATCTGCCATTAAAAGAACAGTGAGTTTTAGAGCATAAACCTTATTAAATATAATGGATGTTTTTTATTAAACTTTTTGTTTTTAAACAGTTTTGGTTGAAAATTATAAAAAAAATGATATAGGATACCTGGAAAGATTTATAATATAAAACAACATTTAAAAATTCTGAATTAACAAAAGTATGTATTTTCTGTTCCAAGCGTTGTCTCTGTTACCTAAACTAAATACTAGAAATAAAGTTTTAACTGGCAGTTACTACTATGCTCTCTCAAATATTCTAAAAAATGCTGCAATGCTAGATGAAATCTTTAATTAGGCATCAAATTTGTAAAATGTTAGAGATAGTATGTAGGTATATAGGGAAAATAAAAAATATAATTATAATGAAGAGTAAGAACTTTTAAATTTTAATATAACTAGAACAATATATTCAGTAATTAAAAATTTTGATAGGAATTAAAAATTATGCTTGAGTATAAATGTTGTGCTTGTTTTTAAGTGGTTTAGATTTACTTTAGGTTTGTTCCAACAATGCTCAGAAATGAGTTACTGACATCAGGATTCTGCACAGTAGTTTATCGATACTGCAAAATTGTGGTTTGTTTCTGATCATTGTTGGAACAGACCTTTTATTCAATACATAATTGAACAAGTTAAATGTGTATTTGGAATTTTTTTAATTTTACAAATCTCAAGCTTGAATATGGATTTTCAAATTATGCACTTTTTGTAGTTTTTAATAATGCTTATTTTTTTTTAGTTTCTTGTTCATTTAATAAAGATGCTTTTTTGTATATGGGGTGATAATTTTTAAGCAGAGGCGTGCAGCACCCACAAGATCACTGCCAGAATTAAAGCAAATGGGTAATCTAGAAATATGGAGTAGGTTCCCAGCACATAAGATTTTCAAGAACTTGTAAATACAATGTTTTAATGAATTATTGCCGTTATCAAAGTTAAAGGTGATGAAACACTCATGAAAATTTGTAAATATTTAACCCTTTCAGTGTATTTGTCCCTCCAGAGGGACACTGTCTTAATTAACCCTGAAGTATACATCTGTTAATTTTGGTAGAAATTTTTTCTTTTTGGTTTATTTACTTTGTTTGCATTACTTTTAAGGATTAATATTATAAAAAAATTATTTTCATAGTAAATTTTTGTTTTTGTAATGTCCCTGAACAGGACGTTATGTCTTGGAGTAATAAAAAATACTATGAAAAAATTTTAATTTACTTAAAATAAACAAAGAAAACATACAATCTACTACAATGGTATTTTTTTAATGAAAGTGGAAGTGAAAGGGTTAAAAAAATAAAAGTAATTTATCAGATTTATGTATGATTTGTCCTTGTAGTGACAGTCACTATAAATTTGAGAAGTGTGCTAATTGAAATGGGACAGGGCTCATATAGTTTTATTTAAAAAGTAAACCTTGTCATTAATTAAATATAAATGATTATTATATTACATTATTGAAATATATAATATAAAACAAATTGTTGTAATGTTTTTCTGAAATCGGAAGTGTTGTCAGGTTTGTTACTGTCTGCTGCTAACTGTGATGTGTACAAGCGAACATAATAAACCTACTTATTGAGTACATTAATATGAAAAACTCATAATAAATCTGGAAACTATACATTTGAAATTTTCCTACTTATGTTTTCATTACTGCTATTATTTAATAGAACAATTCCTATGCTTTTATTTATTATTTAATTTTCCACAAATAAATATAAAAAAATAATTAGTAAAATTATAAAATGAGTTCCAATTAAATAATGAACTATATTATTAATTTAAATTGTTAATATAAGAAATGAATAAATTAAGTAAGTAAAAGTGTAATAATGGGAAATGTGTAAATTGTATTTATTTCTAATTTTACATAATTTTGTGTGTATTGTTAATTTTCTTTCTAATGTAAAATTAACAATTTTAACAAAAATTTAATGAGATGTTTTATTTGTGTTAGAACTCGAATACAATAAGAAGAACACTGCTGTCATAATGATTACTTCGAATTTCAAATACATAGTATCTATAACTTATCAATAAATAAATATTAAGTTGTTAGATATAAAAAAATATGTCCTATATTCCTAAAAGATTAACACTTCACCCCCAGTGGATAACTTCGATAACTGTATCAGCAATACTTTCCACATTCTTGTCTCCTTTGAGAAGTAGTCCCATCATAAGTAATAAAAGCAGGAACAGCATTTTTTAGGTAGTTTTTTTTTATATTTGCGCTGCACATTAAATAATGGTAATCTTATAATTGAAGGGTCTGGAAATGCACCATTCTTGTTCTGGCTAGTTCTGATAGTTGGAATCGTAACACATAGTTGCAAAGTTATATTTAATTATTTGAAATAACTTTTACTTTTTATCATGTATTTACCAATTTTTACATCGATTAAAAATTAAAAAAATCTGTAGATTTTCAAGTAATACGATCGTTATTTTTAACTTCAAATTTGTGTCAAATTATAGACTTCAGAGTGGTGTGAATATGCAGATTTCTAGACTCTTCAACTACAAGATAACCTTAAATAATTATTAGATACATCAGAAAAAACATTGTTTAAATTATTAACCAGTGTATGTACAAATTATTCAATACACAAATTACCAACATCTACGACCCCGAACTACATTTATTTACTTAAAGGGATTATTAACTCCTATAAAAATACGAAAAATACAGAATTGAAAAATCTTAAATATTTCTTACAGCTCAAATTTTTATTAATTTAAAATCAGTACTTCTATAAAAACCTAGTAAATACATTTAAAGAACTGGAACAAAACACATTTGGGGATGATTATTATTAAACAAATGTATATTTGAACACATAAAAATAAAAAGGCTACAAGTAAAATAAATTTATCATAGTATCTATTTGATTCTTATAACCAGTTACAACTTTCTAGCATTATAATCAGGCTAAAAGGAATAAGTCAAAGATTTTATTTATTCGCAGAGTCAGAAAAATATCAAAAGAAATAGGTACCTTGTGTATATGAAATTTATATCATGAACACATAATAGGGTCCAAGTCATAACATTATTAGTACCAAGGAGACAGGATAAATAATACGAAATATTTATATAGTAAAACTTTATACTTATAATTATTTTTATTACAGAAAAGACAAAGTTGAATAACCTATTTACATAACCTACAATCATTTAAAACGTAGACATTAAACATATTTACTTGAAAAATAACGTTTCCTAGTAGATTTCTTAGCACTTTTTCACGGATAACATAATTTGCATTAAAATGTTTTTCACA